TTCACATTCCTCTTGCTAAGAACACTCAAAATGAACCACCCAAAAAAAATGTTGACCACCCTCATAGGTACTTTGTCATAAATGATTTATCTTAAAATATTTTATGGTGGAGGATTCGTATAAGGATAAGTAATGTCTTTAATAATTGAGTTATGTTCATGTCGACAAAAAAAATAAAAAATATAAAAGATATTATAGTATTTTTTGTTAATAAGTATACGTGATTTTGTTATTTGGTATATCCGTACCATTCTTTTAATTCATGGGACCATGTGTGCAATGATAATATTAAAATTTCTTTTAGAAAAAATTTCAAGTGATCTTCAAGTAGGTATTTTTCTATTTACTATTATTAAAAAAATTAACGGTCTATTTATTCTAGGCTCTCTCTCTCCCTTGGTGTGTTCATCCTCTCTTAGCTATTGTCATTTTCCAAATTTTTTCATATAAAAAATGAAAAGAGTATTATATAGGATTAAAACAAATTGTTTTTTCATAACTTTTTCCAGTTCTAATATATTTCATAAATTGGTTTGATTTGGATAAAGTAAACAAATTAAATCGGTGGCTAATGTCTATTTCTTACCAACTCTAAAGTCTAACCATATCTTTTCACTTCTCTCAACTTATTTCAATAATATAGATCTTAATGAAATAATAAAAGGAATGTAAATTTAAATATGTCAAAACTTTTATATTTTTTAAGTTTTTAGAACAATAGATATTTTTTATTTTTTATTTTTATTATTATTTTTTTAAGAAGGAGGTTACAATGACATATATAACATTTTGAAAAAAAAATTATAAACATTAATTGACTTTGATAATTAGCATCTTTTAATTTAAGTAGTAATCCTTAGACTTTGCATAGTTAATGATTGATTAACTACAATTATAACAATGATTAATAACATAGATTAAGCTATAATTGCAGTGATCATTAATTTACATGTATCCTATTATTTACTATATTTAGTTACCATTTTAGATGTTCTTTTTGTCATTTAAAAAAAATGTTATTTTTGTCATTTTTTTGTCTAATTATATCAGATTTGCAAGTCCCATTAATTTGGAGATATTATGTATGATTTTTTATTTTAAATTTTCTTATTTTTGTAAACTTAAAAATGGATGGTTATAAATATAATATACCTCCCATTAATAAAGAATAAGCATATGCCAATTTCTTTGAATATTCAGATTTATTTAGAAACTTTTGCTAGAAAAATTAAATTAAGTTTTAATGAATATCTTATAAATGTAATACACCTCCCCTAGTATTTTCCAAACAAGAAAAAGAATAGCTTCCATAGTTATTTCTAAAGAAACTTTCAATAGGAAAAAACAAAAAAAGCAGAGTTTTTAAAATATATGTATAAACACATCCTATGAATTTAAATTGGTTATAATTTTTTAAAAATAACATAATTAAATGGGTTTTAATATAAAAAGATATAAAAAAGAATACGAGGATGCGAAATAATAAATGAATATTATGCCTACATATCATGCTACTAAGAATGAAACATACCACTGATTTATAATTATTTTTTTAATTTATGAATTAAATGAAATTTATCTTATAAATTAAAATTAAGATACTTTTGTCCACTTTTATTATGACAGTATAAATAATTATTTAAAAAAAATGACAGAAACTGGAGTGCAACGCGATTTTTATGATTTCCATTGCCTAGCCCAGCCCAATGTAAGGGTTTCTCATGGGTCCACTCAATTATATCCAATAATATATTAAAAATATTTTTTTTATTATCTAATTTAAATTAATCTGAACTCTTGAAATTAATTAGTGCTCCAACAAAGAATCTATATGACTAGAGAACCTTGTAAACCTAGAGTTTATGAGCTTCATAATATTAAATTAATTGATTATTTATTATTAAACCTAAGATTGATCTAATTAAAAACTAAAAAAAAATAATAATAAACCAAGAATTGCATGCTCGTTTTATTATAGGTTATATCTACAAAATAATTATCATAGATTTCAGTATTATCTTAGCATGAACGCTCTCCAACTAAAATGAATGAAATTATAGATTCTATACATTAAAATAATATACTTATTGGTTAGCGGCGGATTAGAAGTTTGAATCTTCCTCCCACCCTTGTTGAAATTAAAAATAAAATAAAATAGTATCATGTTGATCGATAAAACAACCTGTACGTAATACCATGACAACTTTTCATGATTATTATTCATTGATAATTAAGATTAAATCCTAACTAATTCGAGTCTAATTCAATAGTGAAAATCATTACTCACTTCCTCTATAGGTCTAACATTTGAATCTCTACTCCTGTAATTGGTAATGTTATATTCTAAAAAATCAATACTCAATCATATACTTAAAAATTAGAACCTAAACGTTAAACATAACTAGATATAAAGTACTAAAAATGAAATTTAACCGTTAAGTTGAGCACAGTCAATAGATAAAATATCAATAAAGGAAGTGGTCGCAATGGTTAAAATAAAAATAAATAAAAGAAGTAATTCACAAATTTTAATGTGACCTTGAGAGAAATAGGACATGTCACGGTTCATCTTGTTAAAGGTTTTTTATTATTATTATTTTTATTATTATAATTATTTGTAATGTACATTGTTGTCGAACATGAGCCTGGACAAACGGACGGTACAAGGACAGAACATTTTGGCCCGTAATTGAGGATTGCCTCGGAGGCTGAGTCGCCCAAGTATCTTCCTTTTCTTCTCCATTACTCATATTTTTAGTCCAGCAACAATCCTCTGTAAACATTCCTCCGTCTTCCACCTAAATTTCCACAATTTCCATTTCTTCAGCTTCTTTTGCTTCACAGTAATCCAGAGTTCTTCACAGCTTCATCCTGCCCCGGATTTTCCGGATATGGGTTTCTTCGATTCCATTCTCAATTGGCTCAGGAGGTAAAAATTTTCTCCCCCAACTTTCCCTCTTCTTGAATTGTGGGATTTATTGTGTTAGTATCGGTTCTCTTTGTTTGGTTGCCGAGAAAAATTGATGTATATATTGGCCTAGTGATTTTGGGTTGATTGGTATTAGTTTGCTAAACGAAGAAATTGTCGGCTGATTACTGAAGTTGGATTGTAATTTAAAATTCGAACTTGGGCCTCTTATTTGAGATTAGTTTATAGCGAAGGGTAATTAGAAATGCGGTTTTATGTGTATTCGTTTGGTCTTCAATTGAGAATTATATTAATTCGAAGTTTGAAAATTCAGCCCTTTTACCTGAGACGTACTACAGCCGTTCAAGATTTATATACTTATTAGTTGAAATTGAACAATTGGGTCACTTGCAAATCTCAAATTTATCACATAGTGTACTCTGAAACTTGAGATTGCTTGTATTTTTGGGTTTTTGATGTAGTTGAATAAGTTAGCCTTTTCTTTTGGTGAGATTGGGTTGGATTTAGATGCAAAAAATACTGGCTATCTCCTTCCTCTAGGCTGGCACTGGTGCTGAGAGTTCCCTTTTATACGGTTCGAATCATTCTTAGATGGCCCCTACACTTATAGTGTCAAAGACAGTCGATTTTGTCGTTCTTACGAAGGTTGTGAAAGAGGGCTACTCTTTAGCTATGTCTCGCGTTGCAGAGCAATAACAATGGAACACAATTGTTACAAACTATTTTGGTTTTCTGCCTTGGATCCCAAATTGGGCAAGTTATATAGATTTATGGATCTCATAGTACTCTAGGCACTTTTATTGCCTTATAGTTTGGAAATGAAATCCCAATTTTCAGTGAAGCCATCGTGTCAATAGACCTTCCACTACCACGACCGTTCCATTTAGACTTCTCCATGAAGAAACAGAAGTGTTGTCTTCTACTCTTTGATCTTTTGTTTGCTACCTAAATCATAACACCTGTTGTTGCTACATGCTTGGACTGACTTCTACAGTTTCATACCCTTATGCGCCTCTAAATTATGTTTATTCTTGTCAGCCTGTTCTTCAAACAAGAAATGGAGCTCTCACTTGTAGGCCTCCAGAATGCTGGGAAGACATCTCTTGTGAATGCTATTGCTGTAAGAAAATGCAAACTTTCATATCCGGTTTTTGTCTAAGTGAACTGCCTTCTCATCTGCTGATACTTTTCAAATTTTACAGACAGGGGGCTACAGTGAAGATATGATTCCAACTGTCAGTATGTTTTCCTTTCAAGTTCATTATTTATGCTCTGGTAATTGAATGTATCTTACGATTTCACCTCGCACTCTGACATCAGGTGGGGTTTAATATGCGAAAAGTTACAAAGGGCAATGTTACAATTAAGCTTTGGGACCTCGGAGGACAAAGGAGATTTCGCATGATGTGGGAACGATATTGCCGTGGCGTGTCTGCAATTGTGTAAATATCCTGAGTCTCTAAACCTTTCTTCCATTCTTTTCTTAGATATATTTGTTACTTGAGCTTATAATATGGCTGATTGTTTATTTAAACACCAGAGCTTAATAAAATTTAGATCGATACCAAGCAAACAAATTATTGCATTCAGATATAACATCCTCTTATCCAATTAACATGATCCATACTTATTTTGCATTAAAATAATCGTCTCGTCTCTTCTCTGATTTAGAGTATTCAAGTTATTCTTTTTCCAATTAACATTTTTCACATTAGTATGATAGAACCCGAACTAGAAATATATTGAAATATAAAAGATAGAGTAACTACAATATTTTCCGAGTAATTCAAGGTACTTGGAATCTCCCCTCTCTTGAGTATTCTTACTCAAGACTAAACCATACTAATTAATTGGCTACCATTATCCTTACCCCCTCACTGTATTTATAACCAAACCCTCAACCCAATTACTAATATACCCTTGATATCCTAATACTTTCGCCAATCTATCCTAACAGCAATTTTATCGTAATATTAAAATATAGATTCTCCGAGCTCTTTGAGAGGCCTAGACTCTCCTCTTTCAAAGAAATCTCTAGTATGCTAAATTGCTCGTATCTAAATCAGTATCTATTCCCTGTTTTTTTAGTTGTTTATGTTGTACCATATAAGGAATTAGAATATGGCTTCTATTCTTTATCTGTCAACGTGACATCAGTTTCGATGTCTACACGTTTTTCTATAGCTGAGATATTCATGTCTCATCCTAAGCCTAGAACTTATTCGATTTAGAGGTATAAATTTGCATTCATGTGAAATTGCTGGTGGGTACTTTGAATTTTGATGATGATGTCTATTTTAGCTTCTAGAATTAGAAAAAGATTTTAGTTACGTCCCTAAATTTTGAAGTGTGATTTCATGTTGCCCTTGTCAGTAACACAATTAATTAAATGATGTGAAATATCTATTGGAAAAATGTTGGCCGATTTGGTGTGATGTACTGACAGAAGGAAGTAGAGAATTGGACTAAATAAATTGACAAGGTCTATGAAAGGTGATATCTTTGATATGTTGGGCATACTACTTTATGTTGTTCAGCTATTTACTTCTTTAATAAATTTCTCTCTCGTGTCATGACAAATAAGCTACATTTATCCAATAGGCATCTTACATCATTATTTAGTTAACGGCATTAACTACAAGAACGGTATAGAATCAAAACCTTGAAGATGATGTTGTTAAAACCTTTTACAGTTTAGAGACGAAAAAGATACTACCATCAAAGTTCAAGACTAAATCCAGAAATTAACGTTTTTTCCGTCTCTTGGTTATTAGTTTATCGTTTGTCCTGATATATGGTTGGTGCAAGGTCAGGTATGTTGTTGATTCTGCTGATAGGGATAGTGTTCCCATATCAAGAAGTGAACTCCATGAGCTCTTGACAAAACCTTCATTAAGTGGAATTCCTCTGCTTGTTCTGGGCAACAAAATTGACAAGTCAGAAGCACTTTCCAAGCAGTCACTGGTTGATTTGTTGTGAGTCCCAAATATTTTGTCGATGACTTGGAACGATATTCTCTGTTAATATTGAAAATTATTTTTTGACGATAATCTTTTCGATTCTTTCCCGCAGAGAACTTGAATCAATTCGTGACAGGGAGGTATGCTGCTACATGATCTCTTGCAAAGATTCGGTAAACATCGATGTTGTGATCGATTGGCTTATCAAACACTCGAAAACAGCAGGATGATCAATTTTATACCTTGTATTGTCTAGTTAAAGAGTCATGGAAGTTCAAAACTGTACTTTATTTAAAGGTTTTGAGCTCAAACTGGTGTCAGAAACTAAATGAGCAGTGGTTGGTTACAAAAATATATATTTTTTTTAAATGTTTGTGTGCAGTTAGTATAGTCGACGATGACTAACTACATACAATTGTTAAAGATCACTCCCAAGGTTTATAGTTGTGAATAGACTTATCTCCAACATGTTGATGGATAAAAGTTTTTATGAAATTAAATATTCGCAATCCCTTATATTAAAAGGGAAATAAATGATGCAATTCTCAAATTTTTGGTTTGGAGTTTTAACAAGTTAATGATGTTTGAGCTTCTTTCTCCAAGTACTATGGAAAATAACACTAATGAATTGCTCCATCTAAAAGCTTTGGATTGTTTTTGTTGCGTTTCTTAAAACTTTCAAGATCATTTTTATCGTCTAACTTTGAAAATTTTCAAGATTATTTTAATGGAATCACAGTGGTTATCCTTTCAAAAGTCATTTCAAACTCACTCTTAAATCTTTATTAATGTACGTTCAGGCAATCGAGAGGTTCAAAGTTGTTTTACCTTGTAAAAAATAAATTGCTCTAGCTCGTTCTTTGAAAAGCAAGACAATGAAACTAAAAACACAATAGATATTTACGGTCCGTTTTCGTTTCTTATTTTTCGTTACCTCTTTTTTTAATAAATAAAAACATAATTGGATAGTAACTCTTCTTTGTTCTTCTTTTTTTCATTGAAAAAAAAAGAGGAAACTTGATTTTGTTGGAATTTGAAACAAGAAACAATTTGTTTTTAATTATATACAATTTTGGGAAGGTTTATAAAAAAATGAGAAACAAAAACATAAGTAGTTGCTAAATGCTTAAGTTTCTCAATCAAAACAAAAAACGAGAATGTTATAGCCTTAAACACTCCATCGGTGAAGGGAAGTTTACTTTAATATGGACATTCATCTTGGTTGCTATAAGTGAAAAAAGTGTTCATGCTCAAGGGTGATGTTTCAGAACAATTTTATAGCAAACAAACTAATATCATACAAAAATAGTTTATTATAGTTTAGGTTTTTTTTTAAGCACAACATGTAGAGGTAGGAATCAAACTCACGACCTCTTGGTTGTAGATATATGTCAATTATCGTTGAGTTTTGCTCACTTTGACATTTATTATAGTTTAGTTTAGTAATCAATACTGCTTAATTCAAATGTTTTATATCACATATAAAATTATATCTATATGAAATCATTCCTCCTCTGATGATCTCAGCTATGAGTGCTATGACCTTCACCAAAACCTCCACTCCTGGGATCTTAAAAAACTGTCAGATATGTTTGTACCCTCAGCTTGATTACTCACAACATATATCAGGTCTTGACGCGGTCGGGATGCGTCGGGTGATCGAAATGGTTAAAAAATGATAGCGGTTAACCGAGATGGATAGCTACGACGCGGTTCAGGTACAAGTTTCTTTCCTTTTCTCCACAGAAATCTTGATGAAAGATGTGGATTTTGGAAACAACATATCAGTTATAGCTTTTCCTCTTAAAGTTGTAGATTTTGAAAACATATACAGAGATGAAATAAGCTTGCCAAAGGAAATTACATAATGTTATTTGGAAAACAAACCCAATTAAAATGCATAACAGCTAATATGAAATTAAATAATTTTATTTGTTTTAGTTTGTGTGGAAACAGCAGTAAGATGCCTTCCATTGGGCAATTATAGCTGAAAGGGACCCTTCACCAA